GGGCGTTTTATTGAGTCAGAGTTTTTACAGGACAGGAATTACCCACTCCCCTGCGTAGGCAGTTAGGAATATAATTGCACAGTAATACACCCCGAAATCTAGTCTTTGGAAAGTTATGCCTCTATATCTTATTTTTAATTTAAACAATTTTTTATATTATGCTAAGTGATGGAAATAAACCATAAACTAATTAATCGTCGAAGAAAGCACCGTGGCACTTTTTCGATCATGCCATCGCACTTTCGGAATAGAAGAGCAATGATTCTGATTCTCGAATACAGGAAAAATCTGATTGTCATTTGATGTTGAGTATAAGAAATCTAAAAAGTGAAAAAGACCATCATTTTATCTCCAAAGCACTTCATCGGGGAAGACTGAGATGTAGCGTATAATGATAACGTGATTTGTAGTAACTCACTTAAATGACTTTTAGTGTTTGCGTGCGTGGTGGTGGTAGACTACAGCCCAGTGATAACTGTAAAACGGAAAAAATATAGGAAAAATGAACCTGAACTTAAACGTACCAGAGTTTCTTCGAGAGATGAAAATGAAAATGATAGAGAAATATAAAGCAATGCAAAGATTAGCAACCAAAGGATGTAATTTTCTTATTTCACACCATAAACGGTGAATACAAGTGTTAAGGAGGCTGCTTGTAGAAAGAATCAGGAAAATAATATGGAAACGATGATTGAGTCAGGATTGATGAGGATGAAATATCATATGGACAACTCATGGAATTAGAAATGGCAAACATTACTCAAACCGAGGTTTCAGGACTAGAAGAGGAACCGAAAAGTTTCTTGACGAAAGAGATGATAATCATGTTCCATGAGATCTCGGCAGGAATGGTATGACGCCACGTAATGGAACCTAAATCTTTATGGTTCTTGAAAGTCTGGTGAGAAATAAGTGGCGCGCTTTAGCGTGTTATCCAATGATTTACGAAGAAAAAAAATGACTGTTCTGGCAACTGATAATTTTATTAAAAAGGTCGAATGACCATATTACACATTTTTTGATTTTCTGTTTTCTCGTCCTGTTTGTGTTGTATTATATGAATACTTGTATTGAAATCCAGTTTAGTGTTCTGTGAAGGAAACTAACAGAAATAACCTTTAAAACATTTTAAATTTATTGCTGTATAAATCTGTGAACACATACTACATAAGCAGTAAAATGTGATTAGGGGGCGAAGGTGGTTTAAATTCGATTTATGCAAAATTACTGTTAGGTAATTAATGTAAGGTAATGTTAGATAATTACTGTAAGGTAAGTTTTGCGAAACGCAGTTACCTCGGATCTGTCTGTATATGCCTGCGAAGCGAAGTATATCCGTTGGTGTTCGAACGTATCTTTGTTCTGCCCAACAAAGTGGTGTTGCTTTGCATCCATGCACTGCAGGTGTTAAAATACAGTAGGGCTGTGGTTTGCCTTAGCGGTCAGTATGCCAATAGAAGTAAAGGGACGGCGCGACTGCACCATGTAGATCCGGAGAAGTGGCAGCAGATACGGTTTTTGCCAAAGCAAATTAGTCTTATACGATATGCGACTATTGTATTTCTATTTCCTTTCTATATTCATGATTTAAACCACCAAGCACTAGCAAGATGTTATTTTCCTTTTTTGACCACGGCGTTTCAACACAGCACACCAGCATTACCAAAAAATCGCAATCATGATAACGTTTTTTGCTGAATATTAGACTGGATAGTTCAGTCATCGCATTGGTCAAGACTAAGTACAACCACAATGGAGCGCTAACGTCAGAGAGCATCGTCTGATACCTGGTCTGTTTGGCGAGAACAGATCGGAATATCACGCTGTTCCAATTATTCCCACCTACACGTACTATCCGTTTCTCGACTGGTTGTGCAGAAGCAACGTGAGGTTAATTCGTTGCCCAAGGGAATTCGTGAATAAGGCAAAGATCAGTTCAAAGAATTGAAATGCATCATCTCCGAATTTCGAAACCGACTTCTTTGCTCTTGCGCCACCAGGTCCTAAGCAGCAGGGTACGATACAAAAGGCGGTGCGCCACTTTTGAGCAGCAGCATCTTTTGTTTCATTAATCCCTGCGAACAGTTTTTCGGTGACATCTCAGCAGTCATTCATTGGTAGGATCTTATGGTATTCGGACGAAATGACCGAAAGTTATTGTAAAACTTGTTTTTGTCGTCATTTGTTTGAAAGGAGAATTTGATTTGTCTTTTCCTGTCTGCTGATATTAAATTTTCAATTTATTTCTAAATACCGCTTTTATTTTTTAAGGAAGACGAAGATGTTCCTCGTGTGTTTTTTATCAATGGTCATGAGTTCATATCTTCCCGAAGGAACTTGACTGGCGGCTATATACAGTACTGCGAACAATGCTGTTGCATGATTTGGACCTTTCTGCAGAAGTGGCAGTATTGCCGCTTATGCGGTTATTGTGCTCACAAGCGATGTATCAGCCGAATTTGTCAGTGTTGTGTTAGCGTCTTGGTAATCATCGCGAATGATCATTTTAAACGGCGTTTATTGGGTCAGTTTTTAAGGTGAACGAAAATCCTGCATACGAGCTGTCCATTTGCCCAGAGCAAGGGCTGTTTATACAAAAATACCGATGCCGTGACTGCAGGGAGCCGATTTTGATCGATACTAGTAAAGAGCATTTTTTTTATGCCACCCAGATATGTGAAACGTAACTTCGTGCGTTGTTGAGAGATCTGCTGACGTCATACTTCATTTCAGACAGCTTTTGCTTATGCCATGCGACCGTAGCTAGTTTCCAGTCAACTAAAGTCATCGCAGCTGACCTATGATTTATTAAGGGGGTAAATTATTCACTGCGGTGCGTTACGTATTTCATGAATGGAAAGCAGAAGAGTGTCCACAGGTGCCTGTTTGCCTACTGGGAAAGAAGATGATGGTCACCGCGCTCTGTTACATTATAGAGTGACAGCATGTCGAACTGATCGAAACTGCCCTGTATGCAATCCAGTGGTCTAATCAGTCAAAGCGCTTAAGAAGGACATCTGCCTTAATTCCTTCGTATGCTCAGAAACATGAACATGCGGTGTAAAATTTTTAATATATGCAGATAGTCCCCGACTTACGATGGAGTTACGTTCCAATAATCGCATCGTAAGGCGAAAATATCGTAAGTAGGGCACGACCTTTGTATAGGGTATAGACAAGACAGTGTACGACATAGTTATACTGAAATGTATAGCGTTATAGCATAATGTACTGTACAATTTTGTCAAATTTAAGAAACCTCATACCCTGTAATATGTAATGCAGTAAATATTGTAGAGTACTTGTACTATAGTGCACTGTAAAAGTATTTAAGAAACCTTTGAAATTGTATCACTGTACATACATTTGCAATGTCCTTTGCAGCAATAGATTTTGATACAGTTTAATACACTGTAAATCAGTAATATTGTTAATGGCAGATCTGTTCTTCGATATTACGGTGGAATGCACAGATGCAACATCTTTGATAGCTTCCATGACCCGCTTTTTGTCGTTGTGAATCGTTGATACCGTTTACTGGGATGACTGGAAATCACGTGCTATGGTCATGACTGATCTCTCTCTTTCCCGCAGGTTTATGATCTTCATTTTATTTTCCAACGTGATTGCTTTCCTCTTCTTCTTTTCACTACCAACAGGAGAAACATTAGCACGTTAGGGCCATTCTTATAGAAAAAAGCAAATTTTTGAGCACAGAATGACACAGAGGGTGAATATACCTTGAACGGATATCTCATTAAGGGTTAGATCGCTGGAGACTGAGGCAGACCACGCGTTACGTGATGCTATGCTAGCATTCCAAGCGTAGCCTAAGTATCGTATGGCATACACTCAGCAGTTCTTCTTCTTCTTGTGAAATCAGAAATATTTTTCGAATTTTGTTCTATCGTATTCTGTATCGCAAGATCGAAAAATCGTAAATCACCTGATCGTATCTCGGGGACAGTCTGTAGTTACTTCGACTGAATCTCGTTGGTATTGAGACTCATCTGCTTTGGGTAGATAGCAGCATGAAACGACTTCATCATATTTTCCTCGGCAGTCATATTGAGTATGCTTTCAGTTATTGAGTCTGCGTTTCTAATTGGAATAGAGTTCCCTTGGTCCACGTAACGAGTTCTCGAGTTCTCTGAACTACATTTAGCAGAATTTCATTACTCGATCAATTTAGAGGTTCATAACAGGGCGGCAATTTCGCGACTACCATAGCCACTCTGCAGATATTGCCAATTATGCTTCGCCCTGTCATCCAATTTCATACTTTGGTCACTGCCTCCTCGCCCTGTACGTGAAAACAAAGTTTAATCTGTAACAGTCGTCGATAAAGCTCAGTACAGCAGGGCCACGAACCCATATAGTAAGGAATCACATAGCAAGCAGAATGAGGAATGATATCTATTTTCCTAAACTAAAAATCTGTATTTGATCTCGAATCGCGTAATAAGTATTGGTAGTTACTTCATAACAATTCTTTATGTCTTTAGATCAGATTTGCTTCAAAAGACGCTCTGACCACAAACTTTGACGGACAACGGGAACCATTAAGATATGATATTAGCTACTTATTCATCAGTTGATACGTTTCCTTTACCGCTTTTCCTTTTGGATCACTGAGGCAGACACGTCATACCGCGTCTCCAACGTTTCTATCCTCAGTCAGTGTTTGAGCTTCGGCAGAAGATAGCTCGAGTCTGAAGTAGATCTTCGAGGTACTTGCCCTATGGTTATTCTTCGCTGGTGAGCAAGTAGTAGTTGTTTTGCGTTCCTCTCTGAAGGCATTCGTGCGACATGACGAAGGTTTATGAATGAAAGAGGCTGCAAATCCACTGGCTTATAGAAACATTATGGCAAAGCATGAATAGAAGTTGAAAACGGTGACTGTGTGATTTGACGCCATGTTGAAAGCGCAAATTCTCGTTAAAAAAATTTTTTAGAGGCTGAGAAATTTATAAGATCGAGAAACATGTAAAGTGACAAAAGTCCTCTGTGAGAAATTTCATGCCAAAACAGTTGGATATTAATGTCAACGTAGTCCTGTAACATCATATTGGCAAAGAATGATCCAAAATGGTCGTTTTCTCAACAGTACTGTTCGCTTTGTTGTTTAACAGAGAGATAATTTGTCGTTGACAAAAGTGCATGAGGAGCAGATGGCGATGAGAGAAAATGGTAATTGGATGGAAGATGCTGGGGGTTTGAATCAGTGACCACATCCTAAAGGAAGTCGTCAGGCCGCAGAGCAGCGTGAAAGATGTGAAAGTGGAAAAAGGGGCAGTAGATGTTATAGGCTTGACGCAAAGGTTAGCTTTCAGACGGCATACGAATCTGAATTGTACTGGAGTATATTTAACATGATCACGCCGCAGACCTTTTTCTGTAACGCCGTGAAAAGGTAAGAGTGACTGCGAAACTTGTTGGACAAGCGCAAGATGATTCAATTG